ATAAAGACATTAAACAGAACTAGACCCAGCAGTGATCCTTCTCCCAGCACTGCTCTTTAATCCCTTGGGAAGGCTGGAGTAGCCCATCTCAGAGGAGTAAGGCCGGGCCTCTCTCCTCAGGAATGTCGGATCCGTGTATCCGCAGCTTTCTGGGGTCAGGCTGTGGGGATGGGATGATGCAGAGGGTTCCCCCAGGTCTCACAGCAGCCTCTGTGCCCCGAGCAGATCCCGGGATTGCTGGAGCTGAAGTGCTGTCCCAGTGTGGTGTTTGCTGGGGTGGACAATCCCGAGGATGTCACGGGTCACACGTACCAGGAGCTGTTCCACGCCGGGGGCTTCCTGGTGTCCGACCACCACGTCTTGGAATCCGTGTCTCTGGGTGAGTCTTGGGCCTCCAACTCGGGCACAGGCATGGTGGTGTCCCTTCCCAAACCTTCCCAAACCTTCCCTTCCTTTCCCTTCCTTTCCCTTCCTTTCCCTTCCTTTCCCTTCCTTTCCCTTCCTTTCCCTTCCTTTCCCTTCCTTTCCCTTCCTTTCCCTTCCTTTCCCTTCCTTTCCCTTCCCAAACCTTCCCAAACCTTCCCAAACCTTCCCTTCCCTTCCCAAACCTTCCCAAACCTTCCCTTCCCAAACCTTCCCAAACCTTCCCTTCCTTTCCCTTCCCAAACCTTCCCAAACCTTCCCTTCCCAAACCTTCCCTTCCCTTTGGCCTCGTCCTCTGGTTTACTGACACATTCCCAAACCTTGGAGTGGGGAAATCCGTGCCCTGTGTTGGACATTTGGATCCCATCTGGATAACGGGTCCAGGTCAGGGGTCCCCAAAAATGCCTGAGTGCAGTGGAGGGTTGTACAAGGACATTCAGCCTGGAGAATCATGGAATCATGGAATGGGTTGGGTTGGAAGGGACCTTAAAGGGCATCTTGGCCACGTGCAGGGACACCTTCCACTCTCCCAGGTTGCTCCATCCTGGCCTTGGACACTTCCAGAAATCCAGGGGCAGCCACAGCTTCTCTGGGAAATCCATTCCAGTCCCTCCCCACCCTCCCAGCCAGGAATTCCTTCCCAATATCTGATGGAAAAGGGAGGACAAAAGAAATGGGAAGTGGCAGAGAAAACTCAGCCACGCTCCTGGGGCTGCACAGCCGAGGGACAAGAGGTGACAGGGACAAGCTGCACTTATTTCGGGTGTTAGTGGGAATAAAATCCCTGTTTCCCAACCTGGGTTGTGGGAGTCTCCATCCCTGGAGAGGCTCCAACCTCACCCTGCTGCTCCTGTGTCCCCCCAGCCCGGCTGAAGGAGGTGGTGAAGGTGCTGGAGAAGCTCAACAGGAGCGGGAGGTGGAAGTGGCTCCTTCACTACAGGGAGAGCAAGAAGCTCCGGGGAGACCTCAGGTAACGACTCTGCTGGGTTCCAGCACCTCTGGGAGGTGGAGCAGCAGGAACTGGGATCTGGAGAGGATCGGGTGG